GGGCTGAGTCAAGCTGACCTGTAGCTTATACAGATTTGGCCTTTGTGGCAGCTTTAGTTTATCATTACTTTTAAATATTTTGAGTGGAAGCTCAGGGGGTGTTTTTTGTTTTTGTATTTTCTGTTGGGGGGATCTGAAAATTGGTAAGATACCTGAAGATCCATTTGTGCTTCACTGCTGAGCTGTTAGACATCTGAACTGGTGGAGAGCTTGTGCTTCTTTCATTGCATGCTCTACTGCCTGGTTGCTATTTCTGTCTGTTCTCCAGACAGAGCTCCCTTTCCTGTACCCAACCCCAGGTCTTGGTGTGTAGCTGCCTCATACTCTGTGAAGCCCCCGGTGCCCCACTGGTTTTTTTCTCAGCTTTCCTGTGCCACCAAAAGCCTTCTATTGTTGAATGTCCGAGTGCCTCAGAGTCCCAACCTGTGTCAGTTCTGCTTTCTCACTCTGTTCCCCTTCTGTAGCAGTTAGCTGCCTTATGCCTGGAGAGACTGCATGAGCTTCATGGGCTGTCTCTCTCACTTCTGCTCTTCCCACAGCCTTTAGTGTGCTTACCTTACACACTTGGTGAATACCTGTGGGAATCAGTCAGTGGATGGGTGTGGACTGTGTTACTCTGAATTGTAGTTTATCGCTGCAGTTGCATGCAGTCATGCAGGGTTTGGCTGGTTTCTCCTAACCTGTCTATGGCAGATTCTTGAGCCTCCTGTATCTTTTCCAGGCATCCAAACACATTCATTAATCTCTTTTATTTCATGAAAGTCTTGTCACTTTCTGCAACTTAATTCATTTAGATTTCATTTCACCCTTAATTTTTTATTTAAAAAAAAAAAGAAAAGGATTTTGTAGTTAATCTGGCTTATTTTGGCTAGTGTGAGAATGATTGTTGTTACCTTGTAAATTTCTCTTACTTAGTACCAGGAGGTTTTTTTTTGTTTGTTTGTTTTTTAATACTTTCTTTGATACTGCTTTCTAAAACAGAATACATCTTCATTAACCTTACATTTCTGATAACATTAACTAATGATTTATAACATTTATTAAGTACTCACTGAGTGCCAGGTGCCTTGGTGAGCACTTGAAATGCATTATCTCATATATTACTCAAAAAATTGAGAATAGTTATTATTATGTCATCTCCATTTTTCAGATGAGAGATTAAGTAGGAAGGTCAATACTACATCACCTGTAGTGACATTTTTTAAAAACTCATCTTTATTGTTGAATGTATTACAGATGTTCCCTCCTTTTTCCCCCATTAACCCCTCCTCCCTAATCCCGTCCCCCTTTTGCCTTCCCCACACTCTTGTCAGTGTCCATTGGTTATGCATATATGTACAGAAGTTCTTTGGTTTATCTCATCCCGCCCTCTCTCCCCCTTCCCTTTGAAGTTCATCAGTCTAACAACCAATTTGTAGTTCTTAATTCCTTCATCTTTTTCACCCATTCCCCAGCTCCCGTCCATCTGGCAAGCAACAAAAAGTTCTCTGTATCTAGGAGTCTGTTTCTGTTCTGCTTGCTCATTTTGTTTGTAGATTCAATTGTTGATAATGTATTAATTGCCATTTTATTGTTCATATTTTTGTTGCTCTCCTTCAAGAAGACCCTTCAGCATTTCATATAATACTGGTTTGGTGGTGATGAACTCCTTTAGCTTTTTCTTGTCTGGGAAACTCTTGATATGTCCATTGTTTCTAAATGATAACTTCACGGGATAGAATAATCTTGATTGTAGGTCATTACTTTTCATCACCTTGAGTATCTCTTTCCACTCCTTTCTGGCCTGCAGAGTTTGAGAAATCAGCTGACAGTCTTATGGGAGCTCCTTTGTAGGTAACGAACTGCTTTTCTCTCACTGCTTTTAAGATTCTCTCTTTGTATTTAACCTTTGGCCTTTTGATGATGAAGTGTCTTGGTGTGGACCTCTTTGGGTTCATCTTGTTTAGGACTCTCTGTGCTCTGGACTTGTATGTCTGTTTCCTTCACCAGGTTAGGGAAGTTTTCTGTCATTACTTTTTCAAATAGGTTTTCAATTTCTTCTTCTCTCTCTTCTCCTTCTGGCACCCCTATGATGTGAATGTTGGCATACTTGAATTTATCCCAGAGGCTCCTTACACTATCCTCATTTTTTGGGGGGATTCTTTTTCCTTTTTGCTGTTCTGACTGGGTGTTTTTTGCTTCCTTATATTCCAAATCGATGGTTTGCTTTTTGGCTTTACCTACTCTACTATTGATTCCCTGTAAATTATTCTTTATTTCAGTTAGTGCATCCTTCATTTCTGACTGGTCCTCTTTTTTTTTTTTATCCTCACCCGAGAACATTTTTCCATTTTTTGTTCAGGTAGAGTGGGAGGGAGAGAGAGGAACAGAGAGAGAGAGAGAAACATCGATGTGAAAGGGACACATCGAGTGGCTGCCACCCGCACGACCGACCAGGGCCGGGGACAATCTGCAACCGAGGTACATGCCCTTAGCGGGAACCGAACCCGGGTCTCTCAGGACCGCAGGCCGATGCTCTAACCGCTGAGCCAAACCGGCCAGGGCTGACTGGTCCTTTTTTATGTTATTGATGTTCTTACTGAGGTCCTTGAAGGTCTCACTAAGTTCCTTGAATGTCTCACCAAGTTCCTTGAGCAACCTTATGACCAATGTTTTGAACTCTGCAGCTGATTGATTACATATCTCCATTATGTTTAATTCTCTTCCTAGAGTTTTGTTCTTTTCTTTCATTTGTAACATGTTTCTTTGTTTCCTCATTTTGGCTTCTTCCCTGTGATTATTTCTATGTGTTAGGCAGAGTTGCTATGTCTCCTAAGCTTTGTAGGGTGGCCTGTTATTGTAGGTGTCCTGTAGGATTCAGTGGCACAGCCTCCCTGATCACCCCAGCTGGGCCCTCGAGGTGCACCCTTACTGTGGACTGTAACCCTTCTGTTGTAATTGAGTCTTGATTGCTGTTGGCACGTCAGTGGGAGGGATTCACTCAGGCTGATAAGCTGCAAGGACTGGCTATGTCCATTGACCACTGGCCTCTGACTACATTGGAGGATCAGCTGTGTAGAGGCCTACCACACAGAGCAAGACTTACTTCATCAGGGCTCGGGTACCCACTGAATCCACTCATTGAGTGTGTCACTTATGGAGGTGGTTGGGTGGTGGTGTTTCGATGTCTGAAGCTGTCTACTGGGTGTGCTGGCTCTGGGGCAAGGTCAGCCACTGCCTGTGTTCTATCCAGGGTCACCCAGCATAAGCTACAAGTGATCTGCAGATGGCTGCTTTTGTGCTGTGCTTGGAGGTGTCCAGGAAAAGCCAAGTTGTGAACGAAGGCTGGCTGCTTCTAATGCCAGGCCTGGGGCCACTTAACAAGAGATATGGGGCTCCCTGAGACCAGAAGCTGTTTGAGAGATTTTAGGAAACTCTGAAGCAGGATCCAAGACAGGTCAATCCTATGGTAAAGCCTTTGGAAACAGCTTGGGTGGGCCCAAAAGTTGGGTTGGGCAGAGCCTCAGGGAATCACCAGGGTGGGGCAAACATTGTGAGCCAGGTTGCTGGAGTCCCAGATATGGTGGCAGACAGGTGCCCCAGGGAAGGGTGCACCAAAGGAACATCAGCCTCCACTAGCATGTCTGTCTAGGAGAAAGCCACCTCTCCAGCCCTCGTCCCAAGGCCAAACAGCTCAGTTCTTCCCTGTATGTCTTTCAAGCTGCCTCCCCTGGGAGCTTAGAGGGAGCAAGTCTGAGTAAGTCTGTGCTCAGGCCCTTTAAGAGAAACTGCCTGGGGATCCCGCAGCCTCAGCCTCCCTTGGCCTCAGTTCCCACTGGTTTTTCCAGCCAGAAGTTATGGAGACTTCTCTTCTTGGCACTGGAACCCTGAGCTGGGTGCCTGGTGTGGGACAAGGACCCCTCACTCCTCAGGGAGGACCTTCCCAGCCAAGGTATCCTCCTGATTTTATCCACCACACATGGGTGTGGGACCAGCCTGTCCGCCTCTGCCCCTCCTCCCAGTCTTGGTGTGGCTGCTTCTTTAATTTGGTAGTTGTAGGACTTCCATTCAGCTCGATTTCAGGTGGTTCTGAAGGATGGTTGTGTTGTGGTTTAGTTGTAATTTTTATGTGGTTGTGGGAGGAGGTGAGACCGCATTTACCTATGCTACCATCTTGACCTGAAGTCCAGTAGTGACATTTCTGATTTCAGGGTTGTTTATTTCTGGAGCAGAGTTTGCAGATTCACATCCCTAGACAGGTAGGGCAGGCATGTAAGAAACGAGTGCAATGAATAGGGTATGAGACATAACAAAACAAGCAGCATGATGAATGATGGTTAAATTCAGCCTATGCTGTGGTGAAAAAATAAAGAGTAATAGATTCAGTGGCAAAGTCTCTTGGGGAGGGGTCGGTTACTTCTCAGCTCCAGCTAGTTGTTGCCCATGTGAGAGCATGGGTCCAGTATTCCAGATTTCCTGATTTTTCAATAAAAGTCAGAAATGTGTATTTTTCATGTGGAACAACTCAGTTTTTAAATGTTAGCTGGTGGTTCAAATAAAAATAAAATAAAATGCAGTGTGCAGAGCTACATGAAGAGTCTAAAATAAAACATCTGTAGGTCCTGCCTGTCCTCTGGGCAGCCAGCTTGCTGTGTCTGTAATAGAGCCTGAGCTCTGTTAAACCAGCTGGTCACCTGGTGCTCAGTGGCCACCTTAATGCCTTCCTTTCACCTATGTGCTATAAATTAAGGAAGTGAAAACCTGCTCTTGAATGAATGTATTTTATTTACTGCTGTTATGCATGTGTGTTTGTTTAGATATAAGCTATAATTCTTAGAAACACATTTTTTTTTTTAAATCCTGAGTTCTTTATCTGCCTTAAAGTAGTAGAATTCTATCATAAAGCATATCTTACTACATTAAGTTGATATGTGAGAATCCAAGTATTACTGAATACTTTATTTGTTCTCGTTCATTAATCATGACTCTCCCTCTCTTCTGCCCCTTCTTCTTTGACACAGCTTTCACTTTCGGAAGAACAGAATGATGTAACAAAAAATGGCTGTGAATCTAAAGAGCTGGTCTACCTCGTGCACATTGCTTGTCAGGTATATTTGTGCATGTGTTCTCCATTTCACATAGAAGTTAATAAGAATTTTTTTGAGCGATTATTAAATTCCTTTCTGTAATGCATTTCTCATATTGCCTAATAGAATTCACAGAAAAATACTTTCACAATATTGAAATGAAATTGGACTATGAATGACTATTGTTAAGAAAATAAATGGTATCTGTTAAAAAAGAGAAAGAAATGTGTTCATACAGTACTAAGTGGAATGCACAGTTTAGTATTACAACTCACATATCTTCTCTGCATTTTCAGAAAGTTAAGGCTTTAGACACTTGTGAATAAATACTAGTGAATATGGTAACACAGATGTTATGTTTTCTTTTTCCTGGTCATTTTCATCTTTCTGTATGTACTCAGAGATGAAACAATAATTTAAAAGAATCACTTTTATAGATATTTAATTTACCAAATTCAATAAAAATTCTTCTTGTAAAGTAAGGGACATACATTGTTTATGGTAAGATAATAAGAACACACGTAATAAAAGAGCAGACTGCATTGTCCGTGCCTCAGAGACTCACATTTTTAACCAAGATGGTAATTTCCACTGTTGGGTAACACTGGAATGTGTGTATATTTTGAAAGTGTACTATTTCTTGATGCTCAGTAGTAGAACTATTATGTGGGTAATTACTATGACTTGCTTTTATTTTATTTTATCCTCACCTGAGGACATTTTTGCATTTATCTTCAGCTAGAGTGGGAGGGAGAGAGGGGAGAAAAGAGAGAGAAACATCGATGTGAGAGAGACACATCAACTGGTCTCCACCCACACGATCCCAACTAGGGCCAGGGACAAACTGCAACTGAGGAACGTGCCCTTTGTGGGAACTGAACCCAGGACTCTCTGGTCCGTGGGCTGATGCTCTAACCTCTGAGCCAAACTGGCCAGGGCTATGATTTGCTTTCAATGAGATTTAAAATATGTCATATGTAGCCTTGAGTATTTTCTTCATCAAGTAATGAGTTAATACAGTTTATTTAGTCTGTGTTCATTGAGCCGTCTGCCTGGTTTTTAATTAGCCATTGTAAAGTAAGTATTTTTGAAGAAAATTTTCTTGTATGCAAAACTTTTAGTTTTCTTTGGGAGAGAGTCAAATAGGGGCATTTATGTTATTTTTTTCCTAAAGAGTACTATTCATGTACCTGAAGTTAAAAATTAAATAACCTGAAAAAGACAAGTTTTTGGTCTTGGTGACCTTAAGGAAAACCTTTCAGAATTAAATTCTTTTATTGATAGGTGTCAGAATATGATGTTGGAAATTGAGTTTTGCTTTTATATAAGTAAGGTGTCCAAAGTCACATATTGTTTATCCATGTTTTATTGTATGTCATCTTGGTTCCTGTGAAGAACAGGCAGCTCTGAATCACTAAATTTTATGTCATGTTTCATAAAAGTTTTCTATTTGGTGAGTTCATTCATAAGTGAAAATATTAAGTGCTTTTATGATGAATCTTTTCTAAGAGATGAATATAAAATATATCTTCTTTATCTAGAGTACATGGTAGGCATGTCATAATGAATATATTAATCCTTCTGTACCCTAACACTCTTTAGCATCTTTTCTTCTCACTATTAATTTACATGTGTTCTGAGTGAAAATATTTTTATTCTCATAAGCGAAACACAGTGTCACAAATATCTGTGCTGTTTTTTAAAAAATGACCTTCAAAAGTTATCCATGGTATTTTGATACCATATATTAGAATGTATAATTGTTATTTGATTATGCTTCCATGAATAGTGACCTAGATAGTTAGGCTATTTCCTGGTTGTAAATATCTTGTCAAGCTGCTTAGAAAATTTTGGTATACTATTTATTACATCAAAGTAGTAATTACTGCATTGTAATAATGCCATCACACTTCTCTGCCTCAGTGCAAGTAGTGCTTGATACAGTCCCATGGCTCACCTTCTGTATTATTGCCATATATCTCAGCCATAAACCATATTAAATGAGAATCATACTTTTTTATAAGGGAGACTCACAATCAAACCCTCTAATTTTGCAAATGAGGAAATTGAGGCTCAAATGACTGAAGTGGCTTTTCTAAGCTGAAATCATAGCTGGAGCTGATGAAGACTTCAGTTTTCTGCTTGCCAGTTTTTTCTGCATCTCCTTGGAATTCACGGGCAACAGCAGTTTTGAGTGATTGCTTAGTCTTCAGATAAGATAAGGTCATAACACACTGGTGTAATCTGTCCATTCCAGAAGCTGTTTATGCATGTGTTTCATGTTTTTGCTAATTTCTAATTTTAATAATATGCTCTTGAAATTCTTTTTATTTAACCAAAAATCTTGGTCTTTTATCTTAACCCACTCTCTTCCCTTGTTCTTTTATCTTAGAAAATGGCCAATTACATAGTGATCTTTTCCCTTTCTGTAGGTTAAGCGATACTGATTCCTTTAGGTTTATCTTTGAACCTTGTAGTTGTGTCTTTGCCTCTGTCCTTTGAAGTTTTAATTTCTTTTAAAATCATGGACTCAGAACTGTAAACTATGTTTTTCATAGTGAGTCGATCCAGATTCAGTAGGCATTTTTTGATCAGCTATGTGTAGTACACAGATATTATGGCATTCAATTCTTACAACAGTCGTGAGGTAAATAGTCTAGTTTCCATTTTACAGATGATGAGTCCAAGACTCAAAAATGTTAGTTAAAGAGAAAGACCAAGATTTGAACCTCAGTCTAGTGGGTTTATTTCTATTCTTTCACTGTTTTTCTTTTTTTTTTTTTTTTTTATCCTCATTTGAGGGCATTTTTCCATTTTTTGTACAGACAGAGTGGGAGGGAGAGAGAGGAAGAGAGAGAGAGGGAAACATTGATGTGAAAGGGACACATCGAGTGGCTGCCACCCGCACGACCAACCAGGGCCGGGGACAAACTGCAACCGAGGTACATGCCCTTAATGGGAACCGAACCCGGGTCTCTCCAGACCGCAGGTGGACGCTCTAACCGCTGAGCCAAACCGGCCTGGGCTCACTGTTTTTCTAATATGATTTATACTTAGTTGGCTTCTCTGAGATTTATGAGCATATCCCAAATGTTAATAAAAGGTACTGAAGCTGACCAACTAAGTTTCTTTGCATGCTGTAAGTGAACGGGGCCTAGGTAGCACTCACATAGAAGTAGAGATACTTACAGAAAGAACTCTAAGTGGAAGTTTCAAATCAAGAGCCTATGAGGGAGAGACCAGGCCAACTGGGTTTATTCCCATGCCAAGAGACTGTATAGTCTGAGTGATAGTGAAAATATTTAACAGCTGGCATAGCCAGGTTCTGATGCAATTGAACTGATACCTGTCATACAAACCTCAGTTGTCCATATTGGTGTGGCTTAGCTGAATAGTAACCATGGACAAAACAACTTTCCTGGATGCCTTGAAGAATAGATTTTTAATGCCCTGCCTGAGACCTCAACTCCCTCCCTCTTACACTAATTATTATTTAGAATAAGTTGTCTTAACCAACATAGGCATGTTACACCTCAGATATTTTGTCCCTTATCTTTTTATTCTATTTTACAAGTAAATAAACTGGGGTGCGGGGGGGGGGGGGGTGTTACGTAGAAAAAACCAGTTAGCTAGTGTAGATGAAGAAACACTTTCTAGTTTGTAGCATGATGTTTGTCTGAATGGCAGTACGTTTTTTTTCCCCCTAAAATACTATACTGATTTTTTTCTCTGCATTTTCCCTGCTTTTCAGCGAACAATGTATTTGGTTTGAAATCAATGAAAATTAAAAAGAAATCTTAGGAAATTTAGGAATGTGTCAAGGTAGTTGTAGGATAAACTTCTTTGTTCTAAATGTTGAAAATTTAATAATATAAAAAAGACCAAAATTAGATAAATCCTGCCACTAATTATATTGAGCCCCACTACATAGAATAAAGTTTAGTGACAATGTTAGTGAGTCTTAACAGCATTCTATATTCTGTTGTTTTAACAGCATTCTATATTCTATTGTTTTATCCTTTAGTGAATAAGCAAACATCAATTTTTAAGGGTTAATTTAAATTTGTCAATTTTAAACCTAGCTGTTGGAAGAATTGTTCTAACGTGTGTGCTCTAATAAAAATCCTGTTATGATCTTTTCCTTCTGTAAGTACAGTTTTGTTACCATAAGAATAATTATTTCATAAAATACCAAGTATTTTATTGTCCCTTAGTAAGCTTTAGAGTAGTTGAAATTAATGTTTCTTACTGAGTTTGGATTGTGTTAACTACATTTGTAGTGTAGCCAGAATTCATCACTATAATAGTTCATTTTTTCTGAAGATCAAGTTTCTCATAAATATTTACACTAATATGAAGGCTTCATTATGTCCCAGTTGGTGAGGTAAACAGTTGGTTTTAGGGGAATGCTTTTCTACCTGAAAATACCTCCTGTATTTTGGTGCTTGAAATTCCACCATCAGAAATGTATTCCTCAGAATTAAATATTTCTTCCACTCAGTCCATTTAGAAAATGCTGTTACTAAGGGGTGGGGTTGCATAGTAACATTTGTGGAGCATCTGTTACAAACAAAATTTGTAGGTTGATTGTAGACATTCTTATTTAAACCTCGTACCTCTTCTGTGAAATGTAGGTGTTGCTGTTCCCATGTTACAGATGTGTAAACTGCTGCTCATAGGTGTTAGGTAACCTGTATCCTAGGAGTAAATTAGAAATAAATTCCTGTGCCTAGGATAAGGCCAGGCTGAGATTTAAATCTCTTTTCACTGAACTTAATTAATCATATAATTAAAGAGGTGATTTATAGCATTAGTGGTTTTTTTGGTTGTTTTTTTTCCCAGATAACTTTCCCATAATAAAGAGACTTCCAAGGACAAGGGTGAAGACTGTTCTCAGAAAGAACAGCAAATATATCTACAATTTGACTCTATCTGTGTTACTACCAAGCTAGCACAAACCACTATCTCTTCTTGAGCCGTTGTGATAGCCCACTGTAATCAAGTAGAGCCTGCTAAACTGC